ATTTCATAATCTCCCCCAATTCATTTTCACATTCCAATCATAATTCATATCCCTCTTCGCAGGCCGGCTACTGCCCCTGCACACACACAGCTCTTTGTCAGGCCGGCTTGCCCCTACAATCAGCTGCTTCCTCACGGTTGTCCATGCCGGCTTGCCCCTGCAACCAATCTTACAAAACTTATATCATTCATAAGCAACAACCGAGCCAGCTCCCAATTTGTGCCAAGTTTTATAATAAATCGTGTATTTTTACTTCTTGTTTTGTTGTTTCTGCACAAAATGTAAATTTAATATTTTTGTTTGTGCAGAAATAAGTACCACTACCTCCCTGCCTACTCTTACGATTTTATCAGCTATTACCCTTCATTACGTAATATTCCACTAAATATTTCTTTAATTCCCTTTTACTCACTTGCCTTATTCCTTAATTAATCCATCAATGCATAATTACTTTAACATTTTCTATGTTAGATCCAAGCACGGTTTACCTCACATCCCGTCTATTTTTTATACGCTGTTTACTTCCGTTGTCTCACAGCTACATAATGTACCTTCACAATTTTATCGTAATCCTAAATATACTTACGTATTCCATCAACTATTATCTTTTTCTTATATTAATATGTAATCTCAGCATCTATATCTTGTACATTTCTATTAATAATTCGCAGGCACCATTTCTTAAATATTAATTCATGGTGCATCACGGTCTTTATTATTTCCGACATGTTGCGCATGCGTATTCTATGTTCCTTCTCAGTTCTTCGTCCGCCATGTTTCACCAATTTTCTCGGCCCTCCGGCCACCCCATGCTACCTCCTCGGAGTTGTGCCGGCTGTTGCTTAACATTCATACCTCATTCTTTCCTCTTTGGCATTTTATTTCATAATCTCCCCCAATTCATTTTCACATTCCAATCATAATTCATATCCCTCTTCGCAGGCCGGCTACTGCCCCTGCACACACACAGCTCTTTGTCAGGCCGGCTTGCCCCTACAATCAGCTGCTTCCTCACGGTTGTCCAGGCCGGCTTGCCCCTGCAACCAATCTTACAAAACTTATATCATTCATAAGCAACAACCGAGCCAGCTCCCAATTTGTGCCAAGTTTTATAATAAATCGTGTATTTTTACTTCTTGTTTTGTTGTTTCTGCACAAATGTTGTTTTGCGTAAATATTGCTTCGCCACTGTATAAGAAACAGATTTCAGTTGGAACTATATTGGCTACTGTCACTGTCCGACTGACTCATTACTTACCCTGTGACGTAATAAATATTAATAAGCGCATTCCAGGAAAACTCGCAATGTTTAGGTAATGTTTGTTAGAGAGGGAAAGCGATTTTCAAGCACAGAATTCAAGAATGACATTATATGATAAAGAGGTTATCACGCTTGTGTGTTTGGGGATAGTAAATATCCTGTATTAGGAATAAACACTATGTATTTAGGCGAGCTAAATACATAGTGTTTATTCCTAATACAGGATATTTACCATCCCCAAACACACAAGCGTGACACAAGGCGAGCTAAATACATAGTGTTTATTCCTAATACAGGATATTTACCATCCCCAAACACACAAGCGTGATAACCTCTATGTCTTTCCATGTAGTATCAAGGCTATAACACAAACATAAAAAGAAATAGAACGTGTTGATTTCAGTTGACTCATTTATGTGTATATGCGATCCCTGCATAAGGTAAAATCTACTCTAAACATTCCACTCACTGCTATCGTATTTTATAAAGGCAGGTTACCGGAAGTGATGTCATATTAGTGATATCAATATCAACTTCATTGTACATATTTGTTATTTTCTTTGAAGTGCGGGTGAATTAGTACACAACACATTCATTTCATGAAGTAGTTTACTGTTTAAATCTTGAATTATAATTTGAATATCTCTTGAATATCTTTTCACCCAGTTAAATAATGCACTGCTGCAAAATGGATACATGAATGTAGAACTGTTACAAATATTTTCTAAAATGCTACAGAACTTATGAAACTCTTAATAATCAGCTGTTTGTTTGAACATAGAAATTGACATTCATCATGTTATTCTTCCTGGAAGATGCTTTGTGAATGTAACACACTGCAGCATATACATATTTCCCTTTGAGAATCGTGAAATATTCATTATGGCAAAGTTATATAAAAAGGTTAATCAAATAGCCACTTCATGTCTTAAATTAAATGTACATGTATATATGAAGGAAATTTGTCACATAATATTTTTATTAATGTATACACATGTGTAGAAAAAACTGTTTGTTTTACATTTGGATTTTATCGTTTGATTGGCGGAACATTGATGTCTAAAGATTGCATCAGGTGCATGTTAATAAATAGGGGCCGACCATTTGAGATTCATGGGTGGAGGCGGGTCATGGGATGTTGGGGTTTGGGTGTGCGTTGGTGGGTGGGGTGTGAGGTTGTGGAGCTGTTGTATTGGTAGCCCAACATTCTCTTCTTTCAATCGAAATTTTCTATACTATGAATGACTATTCGAGGTAATATACTGTTACTTTTTTGTGGTACCGATTTCAGTGTTTCTTATAAAATGGGATGAAACCTAAAAGTACCTGGTTTCAACTGGCCAAAGGATACTTTCAGGATCATTATAGGTCATTCTTCTATATTATCACAAAATCTGAAATATATTTCTTCAGGTCATTTTGGATGACAATACAGTAAAGTACAGTTATAACGAATTCAAAGGGACTACTAATTTTAGTTTGTTATAACCGTAGTTCGTTATAAGCATATATACAGTATAACAACAGCAAATAGTCGGGACCCAAAAGTAAGTTCGTTATATCTGTCAGTTCGTTATAAGCGTGTTCGTTATAACCGTAGTTTACTGTAGTTCAATATCCCAGAAAAGGAACTGATGTGGTTATCAAAATCGATAGCTGTGTGTGAACTTTGTAGGTACACATAAATAAAAATATACCAGAATGTATTGTCCTGAGCCATAGCATATGCTCATCACGGACATGTCAGATACTGAGTTACAATGGCTTACAGTTAAGCATTGCGGAGTTATGGCCCTTTTTGTCTTTGTACATGTAGACCTCTCCCTCGTGTTTTGATGTCATAGCTGAAACTATTTTTCACCACATAAAACAATTAAAGTATGTTTTCGTTGTGAATGTGTCACGTTATACAAATCATACAATTTTAATATATCTGTCATGATGTTGTTCGGATATACGATTGTATTTTGTTCGCTCACAGTTTACATAAAGCTGTCAAATAAAACAATTCATTGCACTGTACTGTATCTATGTACGATCAAATGTGGCTACAAATTTTAGAGGCTTTTGCGTTGGCAAAACAGAAACTTGAACAACATTTGGCACTTTTTGCTTTTCAAGCCAGTCTTTAATTTTCCACCTTTGGGTTAACTATTCAATAATATACAACTCCGTAAAATTGAAAAGTCAGAGTTTGGCCCAGTACCACGAGACCGCAATTCTCATACAGCGTTGATTTTTCAGAACTATGAATCTGAAAATTAACTCGGCGGCCAGGATTCCAGTGGCAATGTAGCAATTCAGAGATCTTGCGAGATCTAAGTTGTATGCAACTTGCCGCCATATGAATGCCGAGTTGAATACAACTTCAATTCGTACAACTAATTGCATACAAGAAGTTGTTTCAACTAGATGTACCTTGTGAATACCCCTTTAGATTATATAAGGGGACAAGAGGGTGTTTACGTATTCCCTGCCTAGCCCATCTTGGAAGCTTGACCACTGTCACCACTGGGTGAATATATATAATTATCACTGACTTTTGCAAAACACCACTGTATTTTTTTATCCCCTGCCCAGCAAAGTTGGCGGGGGATATAGAAATGGGCTCCGTCGGTCCGTCCGTCCGTCATGTTTCGTTTCCGGAGCATAACTCAGACACCAATCAATATTTTTTCATGAAACTTTGCAGGTCTGTCAAGTACATCCTGAACTGGTGCCATTTGCTATTTAGAAATTTTAGAAATTTTTATATTTTACGCTTTCATGGCAGCAAGATGGACTTAGGTTCCAAACTCTTCTTTTTTTTTACAATTTCCATGACAAGGTTAGGGTTTCTTTAGATTTAATTATGTCATAAATTCTGCAACAGGGGCGGGGGATATAGCCACATTAGTGGCAAACTCTTGTTGTCCCCCGCCGCGTGAAAGCGCTGAGCGGGGGATATAGTATTCACAACCGTCCGTACGTCTGTCCGTACGTCCCACCTGTTTGTTGCCGCGATATCTCAAGAACTAAACGCTGGATTGTCTTCATATTTGGAACTATGGTGTATATACAGACACCGCAGACACCAGTCGGTTTTGGTGACCTTGACCCCATTTTCAAGGTCACAGCAGGCAAATCTGCTTTTGGAGTTGGAAAACGGTGTTGCCGCAATATCTCAAGAACTAATTGCTGGATTGTCTTCATATTTGGTACTATGGTATATATACAGGCGGGTGACATTTCGTCACTTTGTGACAAATACTTGTTTGTATTTGATACTGACCAATGCCATCAGATGATAAAACTGTCATTGAATATTGTACTACCACTCTATTGTGTACTGCCATTGTAATTGCTGTGCAGTAATTTTTGTTGATTTGTAAACCTAGTTAATTTTGTAATACAATTGTTAATTGTATACTGTTTGTTAGTTGTTTGTTGCTTTCACACAAAGGTTTTTTGCGTACAGATTTCTGGGTTAACATATTGTTTCAATTTAGGAAACAACACATACAGTTGTCATAATGTGTTTTAATGTTTTTGTCCCCACCGCAAAGGCATTAGCCTACAGTGAATGTGTAACACTTCATTCTGAAGACGGGGGTTGCACCTAATGCTTTGGTGTGCACTGTCATCAAGAAAGTATGGTACATGTCCAGGTGAGGTATTTTTGGTTACCAGTATTTTATGACAATGCTTTAGTCATAATGATTTTTTGATTTTTGTGCTTATTATACTTGATCTCTGGTAGGAGTCAAAAGATAACAGTGAAGAGAAAGTGAAGAAGAGTGAGAAGATTCATAAGAAAGTTGTTTCACCAGAAACAATCGAGAAAGAGTTACCTTCATCACCAGCAGCAGCAGTGGCGGCAGCTGTTGTGACGACCAGCAAGACTACATTGACCCAAGCACCTACACTCTCTCACATCTCACTGGTAGATGATTGCACAGAGAAAAAGAAGGAGCAGGAAACAGAAGAAAGTGTTGGTAGTAGTCAAGTTCCACTCAGTACAAGTATTCCACCAATCAACCAGACCTTCCAGAATGTCAACACAACACAGTCCATCCCATCTTTTGGCAGGTGAGTTAGTTTTAGTAAACTGAATTAATTAATCTGACATGGTTGGTTGCATATGAGTTTGTCGGATTAACGAGTATGTCGGATAAGCAAAATTAAGTATCATCAACAATTGTGATGAAAAATTGGACAACTACATGATATATACCAATACAAACACGTAATGAAAAGATGAAAAATGAAATATTCATATTGTTATGTTACATTGTTAGCGGAATATGTTTATAGTCCAGGCAATCTAGGCCATTTTTTCACTAAACTTGGAACAAATTGCAGCAGAATTTATTTTACCATAATGCATTTCTACAAGGTCCCGAAAACAACAAACTAAAAGTCCCAAGCAATCCCAGTTTGGGAAATATGTCTAATTTGCATAATCCAATATGGCCACCAATTATCAATATATCTTGCATATGTCAGATGAGGGTCAATGTTTTGATGAAAAAAAGGCATGTGTTGTCTTGCGAAATATCCATGTTATGTTTCTAAAAAGATATTCACAACTCGATTATTTTCGATTATTGACAAATCTGCAAAAATTCAAGATGGCCGCCAATTTCAAGATGGCCGCCAAGTTTCCTAAATGTGTGTTTACACTGTTGAATCGTTTATCTCTAAAACAGTGTGCTGGGACTTATATGCATATAACTTGGCACACTAACTCACTGAAGTATAGTTAACACTTTTAGATAAGAAATTCCGTCACCAGAGCCCCCTGGTGGCCCAACATTCCAAGATGGCCGCCAAGAGTTTGATGGCTAGACATAGAATGTCAAGACACTGTTGGTCTCTGATGACATATTTGAGTGATTTGAACTACTACATTGGGGTAAACAGACCCAAGGATGTATGTAGAATACTCAATCATTTGAATAAATCCAATATGACCACCAACTATCAATATTTATCTCTTAAATGACATGTTTTGGCGAGTTTAGATATCAATGTTGATTGTTATTGTCTGAATCTACTTATTAACATGACAATAAAGGCTATAACAAGTTTCGTTTTCATTCCTGTAAGTACTTGTTGGAAACAAGGATGACCTATATGAGGTCCTCTCAGAATTTACCCCAAACCAGTTGTTTCACAAGAAGTCGATGAGTTATCTCCCTTGTAGTTCATTTGCTGAAATTCAATATAACCACCAAATACCAATATTTGAATATAAATCTGAAACTTCATATCCACTCCGCATTCCGTCACATGATTATGTGATCCATGAACATTATTACGTGATGAACAGTGGAAAAAATGTCACAGTGAATGCTGCAGCTTGTCGTTGCAGGGTCATTATATACATGTACCTCGAAAGTCTCAACAGGTTTGTCATCCCCCAAGAAATCTGGTAACTGTTTATTGGTACAGCTTGTACCATGGTATTCCCTGCACACATCATTGCAAGTGAGACCATATTTCCGACAAGTGCATCTTCGCATGTTACAGTCTTTCTTTGAAATTACAGCAGATAATATCAAGGAGCGCTGAAGATGCTGCAGTCTGATCTGACTGTGTTGATAAGCAACGTCCATCTGTCCTGTGCCATCCCCGCTCAAATGGATTCACATTGGACCCTTTCCACTCCTTTATCAGGTAGTTGACATAGGGGCTGTGGTTTCTTGCGACTGCACAGGTTGCTGGCAGAGTTTATGGCTCTGCATGTGATCAATTATTAGCCACCTTCTCCCAAAAATCGCTTGTATCATAAGCTATGCAGTCCTTCCACCTTATATCCGCCATATAAAGACATATGTTCACCTGCTTCGGTGATGACTTTTTCATCCCCAGTTTCCCTGTTTGGCTGAAATGTTTAGCCTGATGGCAGAACAAGGCATCGTTCATGATTTTCTTCACTGCTAGACCCTTTCCCAAGCCACACAGTCGAGAAGTAGTGCCAAGAATTGCATGTAAAAAGAGCACATGCTCACATACATCACTGCCCAGCAGCCGCTTTGATTGATCATGCACCAAATCCTGTTCCTTCTTGAAGCTTGCTTGGGTTCTGGTGCCAGAAACGTTATGTGCTTCCTTTTCAACATGATGAGGAAGGAGGATAAGCAAATCTGTGTCATCTCCAACCAAGACAGTGTCTGTTTTTCTTGCAGATGTGACAGCGTCTTGTTTTGCCAGCTTCTCCAGTTTGTCACCCAGATAGGCAATAAAATGCTGTTTGATTTTTGCTTTGTTCGAGAATTCCTCCTTCTACGATCGAATGACCATTTCCCCCGTGAAATAATCTGTCTAACCACAACAGGCCCCTGTTCTTCTCATGTGTGTGGCATCTTTCGTTGAAAGCCATGAAGCCATTGGCCATACAAGACAATGTTAGCAGCTTATTTCTGCACAACATATAGATGGTATATACACTGTAGTTCAAATACGTGATATAACGTAGAACATCTTGGTCGGGGTAGCCCATGAAGTATAGCACTACCATCAAGAATGTACTGGACATCTTCATGGCCTAATTTCACTGCAAGTTCGTCAGCTTTGGTCTGCAGTAACGGACCACTAAACGGAATTCGCCGCTGATTGCGTACAGCCAATTGTCAGTGACACTTGACACTGACTGAGATTTCTCAGTTCGCTATATACGTCACTAATAAGTGATAGATGGGCTTGTCGCTGTATCCGTAAGTTCGCTGTAGAGAGTTTGTTATATACGTAAATTTTATATGATATTATATAGGAGATAAATCAGGGATTTTTTAACAGTTTGTTGTATCCGTTTGTTCGCTATATCCGTGTTTGTTATATCAGTGTTCTACTGTACTGTGTTTTGAATGTAGAGCTAGGGTACCTGTAGATTTAACCCTGCTAAATTGAATTTTCAAATGTTAAATTTAGCGCGGTAAATTCTACAGGTAACCTAGCTCTACATTGAAAACACAGTATGTTTATTTCCATTCTACCAAGACTAAATAAAACGCGAACTCTTTGGTGTTAGCAAATATACTGAGTGAAGCGGCATGGGTTGAGTTCAGTGTTTTGAGTGGGTTATCGATCTGAATTACGGCATCACTGAACAAAATATGGTGCTGTATATACTCAAGCAGTTTGTTTACACCGTAATACTTCACTTGAACATATGACAGGCATTGAAAGCATATAAGCACGGCAACTTGGTAAGCTAACATGAGGTGGGCATCCCTTAGGAAGACAAAGCAAGCTTTGTAAGGCTTTCTCTCTACATCGCACGTCACCATTATGACGTCATATCGCTCATTGTGACGCAAAAGATATGACGTCACAGTCGTATATAGAAAAGCGCCAAAATTCCAAGCTCTCTGTTGTCTCCAAAACGTAAATATATTCCCTTTGTTGATTTCTTTCGTGTTTTTCTGCACGAAATGTATTGCCACACATCCTTTGAGTATTGTAGGAACTGCATCTGTACATTTTGTAACCTGTAATTGTAGATATAATTATTTAAATATGCCTACCGACAATGGCCAATCAAGTAAATTCCAAATTCATGGTAGAATTCTTAATCATGCAACCTCTGAAGCTCAACACAAAACAACTGTTACAACTGACTGTATGACTGATTCAAAATACTTTAAAAAGCATAGTCTCGAATTGAAGTTGCCAGTTTGAAATTGGTGCCGCAAAGCTCAAGAAACCTGATCGAGGTCTTAAGACTGATAGAGGTAATCAAAATTGGAAAACTGGATACAACTTTAATGGTAGTTCTGTGGAAGTTTACCACATATTTGTCTACATCCTTGGCAGTATTCCAGGATTGGGCCTTTTGAGGCGATTTTGATTATGTAAACCTTATAATTGTCAATAAATCTTGTGAATTATACCTTAACTCTATTACATCATAGCCATAAATTCCTGTTTATGCTGAGAACCACACAACAAATTTTAATAAATTTACAACAGACGTCCTCTTCACTGCCAACATATCTAATAGTTGTGAGGGAAACTCCATCCCTCGCAAGAGACACCACTGCACATGTGCAAGGCGGGAATCACCTCACTTCTTTCCTGTGTGTCCAGATGACAACAAGGAAAAATGTTTGTTTGATACATCTGTACACGTGATTGCTGTTCCACACTTACAAGCCACACTAGATCATCACAAGCTCCACTAAAGACAAGCAGTGAGCAGTTCTACAAACAGAGAACAAGGGGGTATGGGAAGGCAGATGTCTCTAGTAAGTTATTAGAGAACGTGTTAAGGGATGAGGACTTCATCCCCAAAACAGAGGCCCATCTGTTCAGGTTGTGGGCAACATCAAATCACTGGTGACCCTCATCCTAGGTGCCTATCATGCAAGAAAAGCAATTGCATGCAAACATCAAGGTGCAGTTATTGCAAACCTTTGTCCAAGGAGAAGTTTGAAAAACTTTCTAAGTCATGGCTCAATGACCCTGACTGTAAAAATAACACTAGAGCATCAGCAAAATCTTCATCTGCTTCCTGTAAAAAAGAAAAAGTGATTCATTCCGTTGTGACATCTAAAGAGAATCATGTGGGTGACAAGCGAGTGTCGCGTGGGGACGCCGTCTCTACTTCTGAGGAGAGATCTCGTCGCTCATCCCACTCTCCCAGTATAGTTAAGGAACCGATGTACTTTTCAGGTTTTAACATAACCAGTCACATACATCCAGACGTCTGGAAATGCGGATAATCTTGGAAGAAGTAACTGATCTCCCCTCTATGCCATGTTTCCCCTTTAACTTTAATCAGTTCACAGAAAAAATAACAAATTCCATGTCTGTAATGATTGACAAACATATGCAATCAATGTCTCATGAAATCTCACATTTAAAAGAATCGTCGCACAACACGAGATTCAAAAGAGATCTGAGGCTGAATATGACAGGGCATCCTCACACAGTAGACACTCACGCAGTCAAGATGAATCATTATTAAGAGAACAGTAGGAGAGTCATATGAAGACATCGAGAATCTCATAGATCCCCTCCTTACCATGCACTTCATAGGGTAGATCGTGAATCACAGACATTGCATCGCAGTGAGCACAGAAATA